CGGGGCCGGGGATCGCAACTGCAGCCCTGGCCCAGGTCCCTGGCTAGAGGGCGGGACACCACCTTCAGCCAGGCCGGGCCGGGCAACCCTGACCCTTTGGTGGAGAAGGATGGGCAGCCAGCGGGGTCTGCAGAGAACCCCTCCTTCCCCTGATCCCTGGAGCGCGCAGGACTCCCCAGGAGGCCCGGGCTGGTTCACACTCCGCTGCACTCCTCCCTTTGACCGACCTCCACCGGCCGGCACCTGCCACTGGCCCCCGTGCAGCTTCTTGTTGCGGGAGCCTAGGGTCCCGCAGGACGTTCTTGGATCAACAGTCAGGGCTGCTGCAGAGGACGGTGGGAGGAGCCCCCCCATACACACCTGTCCCCAGGGTCCCGCGGGAAAGGGAGTGGCCTGACCATCTGAGCCCCATAGCAGGAGGCACCCCTGGTGGGTGTGAGCTCGGGACTGGGAGCCGGGAGGGGACCCAGATCAGCTAGGTCCCCACGGAAGGAACAAGGACCCTGGGTTAGTGTGCTGCTCCTCCCAGCAGTCTCTGGAGTGCGCATGCCCAGGCCCGGGTACAGAGAGAGGAAGAGGTGAAGACACCAGGTTTACTCCTCTGTCGGACATGGGAAGGGGCTGGCTCCCCATGCGGCCACATCCAGCCACCAGCCTACTTGGACAGCGTCTTCTTGGACTTGCTGGGCAGGATCTCCACCTGCTGCGGGGGGTGCACCTTGGCCCCGGTCTGCTTCAGCTGGTGGTAGTAGTCATTCCTCTCTGAGATGATTCTCTGAGAGAGAAACCACCCTTGGTGGCCCTCCTGGCCCCCGAGGCGGGGTCAGATAGCAGGCACATGAGGCATGAACAGAAATCCAGTTCTGGAAGGAGACGTCACCAGCCTATCCTCACGGGTTAACATTGGCTCTGGTCAGAAGCTGCTGCTCCTGCAGCTAAAGAGCAGGATGACAAATCCACAGTCCCCAGGGAGGAGAGTCGGGGTGGGGGGCCGCAGTGCAGCTGAGCAGCAGAGTACCCTCAGGTAGCTGCCAGGGGCAGGGAAGCCCTGGGGCCCTGGTGGCATCTCACAGATCTGACTGAAACAGGTATCACGGAGGAGTATGCAGAGCCCTACGCACTACGTGAGTGTCCATCATGCTGCCCATGCCTTTGCTCTCACTAAACGTCTGCTTTTGCAGTCCAGCTCCAGGACTCACAGCTAGTTGTTTGTTGGTGACACAAAGAACCCAGATCAAAGCCAGGCGTGATGGCGCACACCCATGATCCAAGCACTCAGGAGGCAGAGGCAAGGGGATCGCCACAAGTCTGAGGCCAGCCTGGGCTACACAGCGAATTCAAGACCGACCTGAACTATATAGCAAGAACTTGTCTCAAAAACAAACTCAGTGGGCCGGGGATTTAGCTCAGCAGTTCGGTGGCCTGCCTTGCAAGCGCAAGGACTCAAGTTCAATCCCCGGTACCAAAAAATAATAATAATAAAATTTTAAAAATAAATGAATTAAAAATAAATAAAAAACAAACTAAAAAAAAAAACAAAACAAAACAAAAAAGAACCCGGATCAGAGGTTCCAGGAGAGCCCCAGACAGTGACATCTGCCTTGGCCTGGAAGCCCAGGTGCTGCTACTGGGACAGCACCCTGCCTGCCCCTGAGGGCTCCTGCAGCAGTGGACACCGGAGAAGGTAACAACAGGGGCAGCTGTGCCTTGTGGCTCGCTAATGCTAGCATCCACATTCCCACCGCAATGGTCTCTGCCGTGGGGATAAAGCCACAGCAGGCAGGGCTATGGGCTCCCCAGAGACCTGTGAATCCCACCTCCTGCATCTGCTCAGACCCCTAGAAACCAGAGGTCAGAGGTCGGCACATCTGTCCTGCAAAGGACGGTCTGCCCCTCT